ACGCAAAATAAATGGAAAATTCTTTGATTAGAATCCGTCTTCATGTCTCTAACGTCTTTGTAAATTGAGATGAAAAAATCGGGTATCATATTACTGAAAGGTTTTGGGAAGAACTCTTCAAATCATTCTTCACTTTGTGATTAGCAATCCTCCTCCTATTTTGATCTTTCACTGTTCCTAGCACTTGTAGTTCTTTGAATAGCTTGAGTTTACAACCGGATAGCTCCAATGAAGTACTTTTTTTATCCTTTAATAAAAAAAGTTTTATTGAATTTCAAACTGATTGTAAAAGAAGGAGATATGGAATTAGAAAAGCCATCTCTTAGTTTATCATTATAAGCAGATAATCCCAAAATATTACCAGCTTTAGAAGGAATCAAAACCGTGACCTGCTCCTTCTCAATCTTCTCCATAATAGCCTCCATCGTTTGTGGAACTTGAAAATTCAAAATCTCAGCAATCTTAGGAGTAACCGTTGGAATAACAGAATTTTGTCCAGCTAGATTTGTTGGGAATAAATCCGGCTAAAGCTTCTCAACAGCCTTATCTGCCTCTATGCTTGGTGGGATTTCAAAATTTGAATTTTGATATCCCGAATTTTCAGCACTATTATTTTGAACTCTGGTAGAACCTTCCTCATCTATTGGAATAACCAAATCAACTTTAGTAATTTCCTCTCTAATTTCAGGAATCAATGAACCATCTTGATTGTTTTCAGTATTTGTATTTTGAGCTATATCCGGCTCAACCAACAAGTTTGAATTAAGGCTAACAACACCTTCTTCTCTTCCCTTAATTTCAGTATTTTTTCAGCTGTCTTCAATGTATGGCTTTCTTAATTTGATCCACCATAGGTCCGGCAAACTGGTTGGAATTCTGAACCGTGTTTTAAATGAGAATCCCTCTTAACACTTTTAATATTTCTTTTGGTTTTGAATTTAATGTGCATCCAAGGTCCATAAGACCTATCTTCAACTAATAAAGGATCTTTAGGAACTTCCTTGTCAATTAAATATAGCTTTTGAAAACCATTTGGACATACCACATCTCTATGTCCAATTCTTCCACATTTGAAATAGATAGAAGATAAATTCTCAAATTCAAACTTTTGAAAAAAATTTCAATGCATACCTTCAACCCAAATAGCACAAGGGAGTTTCGAGTTCAATTTTACACGAACACATGCTCTAGCGAATTCCCTTCTCCTCCATCTAAACATATTGCCATCCAATAATAAAGGAGTCCCTATACTTGAAATAATTCTCATAATGTTGGTTTCATCCCAGCAGTGTTATGGCAAGTGAGGAAGACGAACCCAGATTGGAGAAAAAATTCCATCTAAGGAATAAGGAGAAAAATTGGGAGTCCATTTATCTAGACCAATGACAAAACCTCCCACATACAACGGACCTCCATTGAGAACTTCCTCCATTGCTTCCTGAGATTGAAAAGAGCACAGGAACCAATCTAATCCCAGAAAAGTAATATGAAATCATCCAAATTTATCCCATTGCCTCCTTAATTCAAAAGCACAATTTGAAAGGGGCAATTTTTTGCAAAGGATCTTCACCACCAAAGAATTTTTTAGAACATGAACATTGGATACTTCTTTTTCCAAGTCAAGTTTAACCACATTATCATCTTTATTACCTTCATGAATTTTAGATAAATTAATTTTAATGTGTGGTTTATTATTCAACACATTAGAATTATTCAAATTGTGATCGGAGCCACCAGAGGTGGAAGCCTCAAAATCATTTGCTCTAGGGATCAAAACCGGCAAAGATGAACAAGACTTACTTATCAAAGCATCAAATACTTCTTTTCCTTTAGCACTTTCCATCAAAGCTTTTTCCTTAGAAGCCAAACCTCCCTCTCTAATAACTAGAAGAGAGTTAAAAAAACTAGAAAAGCTGCGATTGAATGTAAACTTACCTTTTGTATCCAACAAAGTTGGACGCATGGTAGATCTAAGGGAATAGGTGTTCCAGTCATCAAAGGATGACTAACCACCTTCCTCCATTTACAAAGAATGCAGCCAAAAATCTCCTTCCAGATCCTTCCTCAAATTGTGGAGCTTCTCTCTCTTCACGCCTTGGTTCTCTGTAAATGTTAATCCTTCAAATATTAGCTTTTTAGGCATGGATAATTACATTAATAGTAATAATATGTTTTTTTTTTTTGATAAAACTGCCAAATGCATTAATAATGAAAAAAAGAATAGAACAAATAACTAAATGATAGAAGTCCTATCACTTTCCACCTTTAACAAAGGATAAAAGGTAGGAGGAACCTTATTGACTTCTAGAATGTCCCAAAACAAATCACCTTTCAAAGCATAGTTAGCACACGAATGAGCTAACTTATTACAACCTTTATTAACAAAATGGAATAGGATTACCTCAAACTCCTTAAAAAAGTCCAAGTCTTCTTTATCATAATTGTCCATCTCTCGGCTATGAAGATCCACCGATTTTTGTAGGTAAGAAATGACATTAGAATTGTATCCTTCCACAATTAAACCTTTAGCATTGAAAATCCATTCTTGTATCACCATCTTCAATGAATGTACAGCAAGTAGCTCCAAGAAACCAATGTCCCAGTGCATTATCGTGAATCCAAAAACTAGAAGCATCCTGCCTTTATGGTCTCTAAAAATGCTTCCAATACCATCTTTATTAGAGACAAGAAGGGAAGTATCTATGTTGACTTTAATCCATCCAGGTGGTGGTGGATGCCAAATGGAAGAAATCAGCTCAAATTGCTGGTTAGCAACCCAGTGGTCCGAATGAATTATCGAAGTGGAAGTAGATGTATAGGTGACGGCATTAGTGATAATGGTACCTATTCCAATCTCTTTGCCTTCATCGATCAACGTATTCCAACTCTTCCAGGAATTAAAAAACTAATGCACAATACAAGTTTGCTAGAAAAGGATTCTCCTTTCCTTGATCCTTCAAGAAATGCAAGCAATCTTCAAATTTTTTTAAGACAGGAAGATGAAAACCCCAACTATTTGCCCTTTGAATAGCCTATTTGAATTTCAAGCAATTCACTGACACATGGTCTACATCTTCAACCATGTTACAACCTCTTGGGCTAAGGTTGTTAATAATTAATCTTCTATGTAATAGGAAATCCATTGTAGGGATAGCCTTCTTCAACAGTTTCCACCAAAAGTAAGAGATTCTATGATTAAGTTTCATTTTCCTGATACAATTCCAATCATGGATCCACATAGTTTCAGAGTCTTCTTTATGAGATATGGAATATTTGATCATACCAGAAATCATTTTCCCAGAATTGATCTTTAACAACTCTACATTGTCTTCATAAATACCCAAATCAATTTTAATATTGCAGATGACTTTCACCATCTCCTCCCCAAAGTACTCCTGAAGTTTCTCCAGCACCCAATCTCCATCTGAAATGAAGCAGGACAGAATATTAAAACTGTCAATATCAGTTGAAATGAAAGTGGGACAACTTTCCAGTCTTCTATCAAGGATCCAAATGTCCTTCATAATGTTAATTGAAACACCATCCTTGATGCTCCACATTACAACCTGATTTAAACCTTTTGCACCGCTAATAATCACTTTCCAAGCAGAAGAAGAGTTCTGTCTATTACATGCATCCCATACATTCTATCCATATTTTGCTGAGAGAGATTTACTGAATAAAGAATCAGGCTTTTTCAATAAATTCCACGCCAATTTAGCTCTAAGGGGTTCCATCGAGTCAACAGCTGATTGAATGCCAAGCCCCCCTTGGTCTTTCGGTTTACAAAAATCCTTCCATGCTACATAAAGTAAATCACTAACTCCATTGCTTTTATTCCACAGAAATTCCCTGCTCATTTTATCAATCTTCTTCAAGACGGATATTGGAACCAAAGACATAGAAGTATAGAATACATGGATTGCTTGTAAAATAGCATTAATAAGAGTTACTTTACCAGCTGCTGAAATAAACTTATTGCCCCAAACATCTAGCTTAAAGGCTGCTTTCTCCAAAATGTTGGAGAAATCTGAAGCCACACGCCTCCTGAAGGTGATTTTAATGCCCAAGTAACTAAGTTCTTTGGTTTCAATGAACCCCAAGAGCTTTGAGATTATCTTCCTCCTCCTTCTCTCCATATTCTTACCAAAAATAATAGAAGATTTAGAACCATTTATCTGTTGACCCGTCTAGCTGCAATAGTCTTTAGTGATTTTAATAATTTTCTTAATCTTCTCTATCTTAGCAATAGAGAAGATCAAAATGTCATCTGCAAATAATAAATGTGAGATCTTTGGGGCTAAAGGGGCAATTTTCAAACCCAAATTACTCCCTTTGGATAAAAAAGCTTTTGTAAGTAATTGGGAATAAAGTATGAATAAAAAAGGAGAGAGAGGGAAACCCTGCCTAAAGCCACTTCTCCCTTTAATACCTTCCAGTTCCACTCCATTGATTTGAACAAAGAAAACTGGATCAGAAATACATTCCATAACGAGATTAGAAAATCTTCTAGAAAAACCAAAGTAATTCAAAACTTGTTGTAGGGTATTCCAAGCCATACTATCGTATGCTTGTTCCATATCCAGTTTAATTGCCACCAAACCCCTTCTCGATTTAGAGACTCTAAACTTGTGAAAAAGCTGTTGAGCAAGAAGCATATGCTCAGATAAGGCCCTCCCTTCAATGAATTCCACTTGCTCTTCAGTAACTAAGCAATGAATTACTTTCTTCAATCTGTTTAATAGTACTTTTGCCATAATTTTGTATATTTACATACAAAGTCTTATAGGTCTGAAATTAGTGGGAGAAAGAGGATTACTTACTTTGGGAATAAGTACCACTAATGTCTCCTTCCATCTAGAAAACATTTTCATTAAATTGACGCAAAGTTGGATGGCTTTCCACACATCTATCCCAATAATCTTCCAATAAGCTTTGAGAAAGGAATATGTAATTCCATCCAATCCTGGTGAAATGTTGTTGCCAAGTTCATTAATCACCTATTCAACTTCTTCTAGCTTGACTTCAGAATCCAGGATTTCACATTCTTCATGTTTCAAGATGTTCTCATTCATAGGCCAATATTCAAGAATGCAATCTTTGTATTTCCATTTCTTACAAAAAAACTGAAAGAAATTTCTTCTTAAACAATATTGGTCTTCGACTAATTCTCCCTCCTCCTTTCTTAGTTTCTTGATAGTATTTCTATTTCTTCTTCCATTAGTAAATGCATGAATGAAGGAAGTGTTCACATCCCCTTCCTTCATCCACTTGGATTTTGCCCTTTGTTTCCACCATGTATTCAACCTTGCAAGAGTACTATTGAATTCCTTGACTTTGGTTCTAAGGATTAAAGCTTTGTTGTCCGGAAACAGTAAATCTGAAGCTTCTTCCTGCTGAAGATTTTCAATCTCCTTCCTCAAATTATCCTTCAAAACCTCAAGTTTTTGATGCTTAGCCTCACTCCAAAAAAAATAAGGCTTTAAGAACTCTAGACATTTTTTTATTTAGAGCTTCCATATCATCACCTCTTACTAATTTGGCCCAAGAATTCTTGATCACAGAAGTCGCTGCTGCATAAGATATCCACACATCCTCAAATTTGCGAAATCTGGATTTATGAACTTGTTGCTAAAACAATTTCAAAATAATGGGACAATGTTCGGATGCAATTCTACTCAAATGCCTCTCTGTTGCTAGATTAACCAGCTCCAAAGCTTTAGAATTCATCATGCATCTATCTAGTCTTTCTACTATCCGTGCACTTCCACTCTTGTTATTACACCAAGTAAATTTAGCACCAATAATACCTATATCATGTAAGTCATTATTGTTCATAAAAACCTTCATTTCCAAAGGCCCAAGTGAGAAAGAAAATTTCATTCCACCATTCTTCTCATCCTGTGAAATTATGCAGTCGAAATCACTTCCAAAAACTGCTGGAGTTTCCTGTTCAACCACACCATCAAAATAATTCCACAAATCTCTTCTACCTTGGTACTCCCTGTTACCATAAGTTGTAGCTATCATCCATTTGTTTTTGTTGAAAATCTCCAACTCTCCCAAGAAACACTGGTCTAATGACTTGATCAAAGAAAAAGAAGCCACATTAGTCCTCCATATCACCATAATACCACCAGAATTTCCTCTAGAGGGCAACAGGATGAAATCCCATTCCTCACCCATTAACTTCACAAATTCCTCTTTCGAAAGGGAATTAATATTTGTTTCAATAATGCCTCGCAATTTTTGATGTACTCCATCAAATATAGGGAGGCCTCTTTCTTGTTTGCCCCCTACAATTCCAGAAGCTAATAGAACTCATTTGGAGACTAATGGGGGTATGCCCCTAGTCTTTCTCTTATTCATACTATTTCTACCTTGCCATGAAGCCAAGTTCGAAAGGCCCAAATGTCTCAGTTCCTTGGATAGTTTTACTTTTTAAGTAGAATTTTTCCTCAGTTATAATAACAGTATTCTTCACAAAATTTTCCTGTTCGGTTGCCACATTGTCTTTGTACAGACCTTTCTCCATATTTATCATAAATTCACCTTCTTCCAATTCCCCTTCCAAGGAATCAACACCACTATTATCCACATCATTATCATCTTCACATAAAGTATTCAGCAATTCGAATTTGTTACCTGGAAATAGAATGGCTTCCCTGGTTGAATCAACTTCCAAATTCCCATCAAGAATCCTCTGTCTTCCCAAACTTTTGGCTTGGAAATTGAAGTTCTTCTCAGCTTCCGTAGAATTAACTGCAGTTTCGAAAGAACCGCGCACCGCCACATGATTTTTTAAAATTTTAAGCTTGTTAGAAGTAATTCCAACTTCTGTATTACCAAAATTTCTCACTTCAGCATTTCCCATTGTATGATCCTGTAGCTTGTTGATTTGCAATTCATGTATCAAAGGAATTTCTCCCTCCTTCATTTGATGTTCTGCAGCATTAGTACCCAGTTTCACCTCATTATTGACATATAGCTTAGCTGATTCCACTACAGCTTCTTCCTTGTGATTTTCATTTGTTTTCTTCCATTGTCTTCTCACCATCTTATTGTTATCCTTCAGCTTTCCTGATCTTATATTGTTTCTCTTTTTAACAACCATGATCCATGGCCCATAAGAGGATTCATCTTCCATTCTTACAACATTTTTTGTTCCAGTAGCTTCTCTTGGCTTTCCATACTTAGCAATCTTGTCCATAGTGTCTTTCTTCTTATTCTTGCAATCTGCTTTCACGTGCCCAATCAAACCACATTCATAGCAGAATGTAGAGATCTTTTCATACTCAAATTTATGGAAAAATCTTCCTGAGATACTCTCCACCCAAACGCCCAAGGGAAGATGTTGATCCAACTTGGCCCTCACACAAATTCTAGCAAATTCCCTTTTCCCCCATTGAAACATGTTTCCATCCATCATGATAGGTCTACCAATTGATGAAGCAATCCTAGCCACATTGATTTCATCCCAGCATTGTAGGGGTAGATGAGGCATCCATACCCAGATAGGTGAAGTTAGACCCTTCAAGGAGAGAGTAGAAAATTCCACCTTCCATCTTTCCATTCCCACTATATGGCCATTAACAAACCAAGGACCACAAGACAAAACTCCTTCCATCATATCTTTTGCATCAAAAGAACACAAAAACCCCCAGTCAACCCCTGAACGGAGGGAGAGAAACCCGGGAACCAAAAATTTCAAATAATTTGAAATATTCTCTCACTAGAGAAAATGGGATTTTCTCTCACTAATACACACTATTAAATCAAACCCGTAATAAATATGTTATATCGTTCATTTTTTATCTATTTTTTCTCATATGGTGAACGTGAATAATAACTCAATTTCCTAAAGGCATTATTTTGTTAGGAATGAGCATTAGTGTTTTTTTTTTTTTCAGTAAGATTTGCAAAAACAAAAGTTTTATTTATGGGAAATCGAAACAGTAAAAAGCTTTAATCATATTTGCAATCATTTGATGGCTTCATCTGTCGGAAGTGTACTTAAGAATGAACTCATTTATATCAACAAAAGTTGCAATGAGTGTACTACGGAAAAAATAGAGCACAATACAATATAAAAAATCATTAACTAATGATGCTTTGATAGAAATCAATATTGATTTAGGAAAAAAATTAAATTAAATGTCTCATTATTGTAAAAAATTAATTCATAAAAAGGATACATTACAAGCTTAATTAATAACAAATCATATTTTTATAAATTAACCAAAAGAAGTCAAACAGTTTTTTTTTTTTTTTTTAAAAGAAGTCAAACAGGTTGTTGGACATATTTTATTATCCTCATTGAATTGCTTCCTTTGTGATAGGGCATGACATTGAAAATGATATATTATCCACAAAGTCAAAAATATTATTTTCTAGTGGACTCCATAACTAAATTTATAATTTTATTTATAATAGAGATTTTTCTCATTCAATATTTAAATAAATGAGGTTTATTTTTTTCTGGGGTATGAATGCCGCATAGAGGCAAGCCCCTATAATTAATAGCATCTCAAGTTTTTTTCACTTGAGAATACTTCTAATTAAACAAGTATTTTTTTTTCTTTTAAAAATCATCAAAATATTGGCTAAAGATTCTTATTTCAAAATTCTTGAAATTCTTATTTAAAGATATGATCTTTAGGACCGCGACTTTTTTTTTTTTTGTTGAGTAGTGCGGGGAGCAGACGGACAATGCTAAATAGGTACGCGATTTTTTTTTGGCTTTCATATACAGGTCAACATTGTAATCAAGCCACAAAAACAGTTTAGTAATATAAATTATTTGACTTTAAAGAATGCGGTTTTTACTAATAAAAAAAAGAAAGCTCATATAGACTAGGCAAAACTACAGTACTGATACCATACAAAGCTAAGCCAACGTGTTCGATATAACAAAGCTAAATTAGAATAACGGCGAATTATTGCATCTAGTCACCTGATATCCGGACAATCAATCCGGATGCGCGACATCACCCAAATACATAGGGGCCAGGTGTATTTTGCTGATGTGTCACGTCTGGATTGCTGTCCGGACGAATCTGGACACCGGACGCAATACTTTTCCTAGAATAATAGATTAAGGATGAACATGAAAATGAAAATTTACCTTGAAATTAAAGGTTTATGCTTAAAAAAACTCAACGTAGAGGAAACCCAGTTTTTAACCGAAAGACATATCTAAACAGGAAATCATGCCTATAGGGTCCAATAATGATGATTATTTTTAAGCTCTGCTATCCGTCTTTCCAAATCCGTTTTATCGAGTTCTTCCTGCCCACTTTTAACTTCAAATAGCATCTCCTTCGAAAGAGCACCAGGGCCAATTGGTTTCTCCACTCTCTACAGTTAATGAAATACAACAAATCAGCAAAAGAATACCGAAGATACTTTCATTTTTTTTTTTAAATTGCTTTGATTTATCTTCATTGTAAGCCCACTAGATAAGTCAATAAATACTACCACATTTATATAGAATCAAGCAATAAAATTTCAAATAATTTTGATTAATTTCTTTTACTTTTCAATACAAAATCAAATTAAGCGAGGTTAGGGTTTCCAATTTCAAACAATTATTCTATTTTATTTCCCTCTTCATGTCAAGATTCTTTACCCTTTTATTAATTTGATTTCTTTGATTTCATTCCAAGGAATCGACCATCAAAATAGTAAAAATCAATTAAAAACATAAATTCATAAGCTACAAGCCTGATATCGTTAAAGTGGGTGAAATTATCTAAAATGGAACCAAATTTTGTAGAACTTGCGTAACGAATGTAAAAAATCCATCATGTTATGAATAATCCTTCAATGTTGAAAATAAAATCTAGAATTTGTATTTTGAGAAGGATGAAGCAATCAAGTTTTTATTGGCTGGAAACAGATTATTATTAAGATTTTATGAACCTAAGAATGAAGGATGTTAATTCTCAAACCATCAATCTCTTAAAAATCTATCATGACCGCCACCAAACCCTAAGGTAAGAACTCACCACTATAAACTATTTCCTTTCAAAGGGGAAAATCATTCTTCCAAAATTAGTATATGGTGCAAATACTGCAAGAGAAAAGAATACATCACAAAAAATTATTGAAAACAAACCAAAAAAAAAAAAAAACTCCAAGCTATTGTGGAAATATAAAGGGTCCACAAAAAGAATAAAACTTCTTTGTAAAATAAAGAAGGCTTAATCCAAAAAAAAAATTGACAAAATTTTAAACATATTTAACTCCATCGAAAAGCCCCACCCATATCAGGCTCTCTAGCTCAATATTGTACAACCTCTGCCTCTTGTGTTTTTTATATCTTAAATAATTCACCTCCAACATGAATCCTAAATTGATGAGCCACTAATCACATGATCAACCTTGCTCAACTCTTTCAAACATGCAAATATGCCTCAACAATAAAAAAAATAAAAGTAGCGCTGATGGACCTCTAAAATCTATTGCAGATAAAACAAAAATAAATTTCTTCTTGTCTATCCTCAGAAATGTACTGCATTTCTAATTTTGCAGTAACTTTTCTATAAATACATAAAATCATTAAAACCAACATGTGCACGGCAACGTTTTATGGCTAATCATTATATTCCATGACCTTACAAAGGGAAAGATGATTGGATAAGCTATTGAAAATGATAGGATATATCTTCTTGAAGATGGAAATTACTTGTCATGCTACTTCATTTCAACACTTTATTTGGAAGCTATTTGAAAACACTATTATGAGCAAAGGCTTACCTTTTCCAAAACCCTAAGTATATATTTCCTTCTCTTTTTTTAAAACTGAACATGAAAATTTTTTATTGAGAGGTTTGTGAGATTATAAAATATCATATTGTTGTTTTTTTTTCTTTGGAAAGTGATTCTAGGTCTCTTCTTCTTTTCAAATTGTTAACTCTAATAATTTAATTCCTTCTAAAATCCTCAATATTTATAGATCTACGGATTTGTCACATTTATTAATGAAAGTATTGAATGAAATGAGTAATATCTTATTAAACAAAAAAAAATCTAATATCAGCATTATTCTCTTTATATTTCCTAATGTGATATAAAATCAATTGATGGTTAATAGCAAGAAATTTTAGACTAATATTAGTGATTACGTCAATCAAATATTATCAACATTCACAAAAAATCTATCATCTACCAACCCCCTTCTCTTG